TCTGCCCGTGCATGCCAGGCAGGTGCTCTGCCGACTTAACTGCATCTTCCCGTGCATGCCAGGCAGGTGCTCTGCCAATTGAGTGGTATCTCCAGCCCTTTTACCTGTGTTTAATTGATCTGACAACTCTTGTCTTCAGGACCAGCCCTGAAATCCTTCTCTGCAGCACATCAAGGATCCAGGACTGTCCGAGTGGTTCCTCAGGCTGCCAGTAGACTGCATGTATCTCCTTGCTGCCGCCGCCACTGCCAGCCTGGCTTACACCTTAAGATTTTTAACATTCTCAATAAAATTTTCAGTAAGTTAAGACAAAAATGTAGTTTTGGTCATTAGTATTATGTGGCTCTGAGCCTTTGCTTCAGTAAGAAATCCTTGTGAAATGTATTCAAATGATCTCAACTCCTATAATTCAGAAATTGTTGAAAATATAGATGCACATTTTGCCACTTAATAGTTAGGAAGATTTGCAAAATGTTTATAAAACGGAGAACTCCCTTGTATCACCTAATGGTACATGCTCTTGTTCTTCAGAAAAATGTATGCTATAATTACAGTGTATCAATCTAGATGGCTCTGCATAGTTTTATAGTTCCCTGTTATAGATTTTTGGACAGTTTCCCTTGGTGATATTCTTGTGCGTAATTCTCTGGATGTTGTTCTGTTACACATATTTTGGATAGAGACCTAGAAAGACGATTAAGCAGTCAAAAGATGAAAACATTTGGGGCAGAGGTGGCTAAGTGGAAAAAACACTTAGTGCACAAGAATGAGCCCTGAAATTTGAATCACCAGCACCATGGAGAACGCTGGGTGGGCTTGGCGCTGTCTGAAATTCCAGCACGTGGGAAGCAGAGGCAGGGGATCCCCAGGGCAAGGTGGTTAATGGGACTGGAATCAGCAAGTCTCAGGTTCAGAGGAGACTCTGCTGGGGTCCAGCTTCAGCTGGGGTTCAGGTCCTGAGATGGGGGAGGGATGTCAGTCGCAAGGAAAAATTCTGACTACCAGGTGGATTGCACCCAAGTGGCCCTGAATAGCTCCAGCCATCTGCATTTATATCTTAACAGTTTCTTTTTCCAGAGGCTGACATGAATAGTTTTATTATTGGCTCTTATTTTTTTACTTTTAAGAAATACATACTATTAAAGAAATACATCATAATCATTATAAGAGCCTCCATTGTTTCCCTTTGTTTCCCCAAATACACTTTCCCATCCCCTATATAACCTTATTCTAGACAAAGAGTTCAGCGATTTTGCAGGCTTAACTAAATATTGAGGCAGACACATCCGGCTCTGGCAGCATGTATGTTGGCTGTCAGCTACTTGCGGTTACAAAGTTAAAAAGTAATAGGCATTGGTACAATGCTTTAAGGACAACAGTATTTAAACCCAAACTATTTTTTATGTCTGTAAGATATGTTTTTATACAGTTTTCTTTTTTACAAGAGGGTCCCATGTCTCAACCTCTCTATAAAAGGCAGGCATTCTTTTTCCATCCCATATATAACATTGTGCTTTTTCCACTGGATCCTACTGGATCCTGTCATTGATTCTGTATGCTTGGTGTCTGGGGGACTTGCTCTCCAGAATTGGCACTACATGTGTTCCTGAGGCTTTTCCCTTTCTGTGTCTGCATGACTTACTCCCCTTTCCAGACTGTGAGACAGGGTTAATGTTCCAAGCACTGTGTTCTCAGATGTGCTGTCTCTATTGAACCAGAAAAGTTCCCAGATGCGGGCCTTGTAGTGAGTAATTTCAGATAAGAGATTTGAGAAGCATTAGTTCCCTTTGAATCTTAGGGGAAAAAGTATTTAAAACACAACACAAACCCCCAGAATTTTCAGAAAAAAATGCAGCTTGTTGTACATGTGACTGATAAAATAAAACTAAAAACCACCTAAGTAACAATATAACGAGAGATGAAAGAGCCCGCAAGCTACATGAATTTAACAGATTCCTACACTGTCCAGTGGACTACTGGTCCTTGCCAAGTGAGAGTCTGTTTCCACGGGTGTCTTGCCCCGAGGAAACCCATCAGACAGGTAGTCATGCTGATCTGAGACAAGGCTGGGAGGGGAGGACACGGGATGGAACGGATGGATGGACATGGGACGAACACACCTGCAACAAAGTGGAGAGAGATGAAGGGAGATGTCATCTGGCAGCTTCAAGCCATGCACACATATATAATTGCCAAACATACAAGTCATAGGCACATAACACACATACACATACACAAGCAGAAAAAGCAAATGCATAAACTTTAAAATCCTCTCGCCACGCATTGCCACATCACTTTCCGGAAATGCCCATCACTTTTTCCTCTCAGTCTGACGACCCAACTTTTTCCCGCCAGTGGAGAGGGGTCTTGTTGCTTGCTTTGTTTTTTATTGTGATAAAAAACATGCATAGCAGAAAATGTGCTGTTTTAGCCACTGCCATGTGTGCTGTTCTGCGGCCTTGAAGAACATTCACAATGTGGTGTGAGCATCACCACCATCTGTTTCCTGAGCCTTTTTATTTTCCTAAGCTGAAAACATTACAGACTGATGTTCTTCCCGCTCAGGCGCCATTCATTCTATTTCCTATAAATTTATCTTTTCTGTGTATCTAAGTACAACCACAGATTATTTGGCTTCTTGTACCCCTTAATGTCTTCCAGTTTTATTTATGTTGTGACACACATTAGAATTTTCTTCTTTTAGATTTTATTTCCAGCTGGGTGGTGGTGGTGCACTTCTTTAATCCCAGCACTTAGGAGACAGAGACAGGTGAATCTCTATGAATTTGAGGCCAGCTTGGCCTATAGAGTGAGTTCCAGGAGAGCCAGGCCAGGGCTACACAGAGAAATCCTGTGTCAAAATAAAAATTTTACATGTCTCTCTGTGTGTGAAAACACGTGTGTACATGTAGAAATAGTGGCTAATATTGGGAGGATTCCTCTATCACATGTAGAGGTAAATGTTAGGAGTCTTCCTCTATGTCATTCCACAGTATTGGACTTTTTGAGACAGGATTTCCCTGTGTAGCCTAGGCTGGCCTTGGCCTCAGGAATGCTGGAATTCAAAGCTTTTGTCAGCAAGACTAGCTTCCTTATTTCTTTGAGACAGGATCTCTCACAGAAAATGACGCTCATATTTTGGCTAACCTGGTTAGCCAGTAAGCCCTGGGGGTGTCCACTAGTCTCTGAACCCCAAACATTGGGGTGACAAGTAGACAATGCCATGCCCAGCTTTTTACATAGGTATTGGGGATTCAAATTTCAGACTTCATGTTTGCACCAGAGCCCACTGAGCCCCTGCCCAGCCGTTTTCCATCCTTTCTCTGGCCGAGTACTGCTCATTGTATACACACGAGCCACACTTTATCCAACCAGGCAATGAACGTTTGAGTTGCTTCTATAATTTGGCTATCTATCACTGAAGGTTTTAAAAATACATAATATTTTGTTAATTTTTTGAGAATTTTATAAATACATTTGCTCATCTTCACCTCCACTCCTCCCCAGCTCTTCTCAGACACACTCCCTCCTCCCTACCCACGCCCGACGTCATGACTTCCTTTAATTTTTTTGTAATGATTTCTCGAGTGGCCTGTCATGGTGGCACATGTCTTTAATCCCAGGGGAAGACAGGCAGGTGAATCTGTGAGTTCAAGGCCAGCCTCATCTAAAGACCAAGTTTCAGACAACCAAGGCTACACAGAGAAGCCCTGCTTTAAAAAAAAGTAAGTAAATAAAATGACCCATTGAGTCTAATTTGTGCTGCTCATGTACACACGGTCATGAGGGCATCCACTGGAGCATGGTGGCACTAAGGGGGCACACTCTTAAAGAAAACTGATTTTCCCTCCCTCAGGACCATCGACTTCCAATAATTCCTCAGTTAGGTGTGTGTAGGGACTCATGAGCTGCTCCCCCTTCCATGTCTAAACACATTGCTTCCCTCTGTAGTTTTACTTATACTTATTTCATTTGTTAGGAGGCTGGAGAGTTGGCTCCACAGTTAATAGCACGTGTTGCTCTTCCAGAGGATCCAGTTTCGGTCCCCAGTACCCACATGATGGATGGCCCACAACTATAATGTGTTGTGATGCTGAACAAAGACTCTTGCAGAGATGAGCGAGACCCTTGGGAGGACTTCCAAGAAGGAAGTAAAGGTAGACGGTGTAGGTAGGAAAGAACACACACAAATTTATAATGTGCATGGGGGCAGTTTGACAGCACCCAGGAATCAGACAGAAAGTGTGAGATTAAAGAAAGGTCAAATGCAGCAAGGGAACCAGCATAGGCCCAAGCTAGGCCCTCTGAATGTGGGTGACAGTTGTATGGCTGGGGCAGACTGGGGCCACTGGCAGTGAGACCAGGATTTATCCCTACTGTTTGTTCTGTCTTTTTGGAACCCATTTTTGGAGGGATACCTTGGTCAACCTAGATATAGTGGGGAGGGCCTTGGTCCTGCCTCAAAGCAATGTGCTAGACTTTGTTGACTTCCCATGAGAAGCCTTACCCTCTCTGAGGAGTGGATGGGGAGTGAGGGGGGAATGTTGAGGGGTTGGTATGTAAAATGAGAAAAGATAGTTTAAAAAAATAAAGAAAAAAAAAAGGAAGGTCAAATGGAAGCTGGGCATAATGACACACATCTTTAACCACAGCACCCAGGAGGCAGAAGCAGATGGATCTTTGTGGGTTCAAGGCCAGCCAGAGCTACATAGCAAGGCCCTATTTCAAAGAAACAAACAAACCCAAATAAACAAGAAGAAGGTAACATGGGTCGTGTGGGGAGGGAAGCAGACACAGTTTTGAGAACGCAGTATGTTGTGTTTCAAGTATCGTAAATGTGGCCAGGAAAGCAGACAGGGGCCTGGGACAATGGTTTCCTGGGCTCTGAACGTGGTGCTTGGCTTTCAGGATTTCTTCACATGAGAGCTTAATCGTTGCTGGTTAATGAAGTTTCAGTAAGAACACTGAAGGTGACTGTGTTCCTATTTGGGCCTATCTCATCATAAAGATAAGGGAGTTTTCAGAAAGTTACTCCCCACACTGCGTTGGGTAGGAGGTACCAGGAAAGGTCAGAGGGACCTTGAATCTGAGCAGCTTCCAAGACCTTTCAGCGTGTCAATGCCAGTCTTTCGGGTATCATTTTCTAGATGCCAACAATACCCTTATATGGTGCATGGGTACACACACACACACACACCTCCTGAGTAGTTACTTGTGTTTTAATTTTGCTTATGTTGACAATGGAATTGACTTTTGAAATAATATTGATATATCAATAGGTTCTATTACTATGATCAAGCACCAACCTGGTTAGGAAAGGGTGTATTTGGCTCACATGTCCTGATCTCAGCTCATCACTGAGAGAAGTCAGGGCAGGAACCTGGAGGCAGGAGCTGAAGCAGAGGCGTGGAGGGGTGCTGCTACTGGCTTGCTCCTCATATCTTGCTCAGCCTGCTTTCTTGTACTCCCAGACCACCTCCCAGGGGTGATATTGCCCACAGTGGGCTGGGGCTCTTCCACATCAATCAGTCAAGAAGATGTCCTACAGACATGCCTATAGGCCAAACTGATGGAGACATTTTTCTCTGTTAAGGACCTCTCTTCCCATGTGACTCTAGTGTATGTCAAGTTGACAAAAAACCTAAGTAGCACAACAAATGTATGGAATTAATACAAGAATATGTTAAACCAAAAACATCTTTCTGTATCCAAATGGGAAAGTTTTACTTCCTCTTTCCTCCCCTCTTCCCTCCCTCCCTCCCTCCCTTCTGATCTTCCCTTCTTTTTTGCACTTTGCCACCATTGCCTTTAGGTGGCATTAAATCCTTGGGCATTAGATCCCCAGGAAAGCTGAGCCTACTCTCTATCCCACGTGGGAAAAGCTAGGAGTAAAGACTGCTCTTTCACGTGTGTGAGGAATATCTTAAACTCACTTTTCTCTATCCACAGACAACACAATTTACAATTCTGCTCAACATAGCAGAAACTAAGGCTAAATAGTGCAAGGGATGTGGGGAAAGTGTAAGCTTTCTGGTTCCGACGTTTGGAGGTCGAAGTCAAGCAGCAGTGTCTATGCTCTTGGATTTGGCTTCTGTGTTCAGGGTCATGTGGGAAAGACTTTTCTCCCCTCCCCTTCTCTTTCCTCGTTTTCTTCCTCCCCCTCCTTCCACGAGCTAAAATCCCTGGAAAGAGCCACACCTACCACAGAACCTTCTGCAAGGCTTGGAGAGAATGGAATGTTGCAAGTCCAGACCCGAGTTACCTTGAGTCATCTTTAGCCTCCTTAGTAGCCACCTTAGTATTACCTTTTTTGTTGTGTGACCTAAGGCCTTGTGACCAATAGGTAAATCCTTTGGAATGTGCAAACAGAACCCTAGCTGTCTCCAACCAAAAGGCTAAGAATGCCATCAGATAGCATCCAAGGCCACTAGCTGAGTGGTCTTTTTCTGTCACCCGCCTTCCTGATGGTTCCACCAATGTGTCTTGAGTTAAGATTTTCTTTGTTCTGTTACTATAGAACGTCATGGAAATGTTACCATGTTGGAACATGGAATTTATGTTTATTAACCTAATCTCTGTTTCCAGGCCATGGTCACTCATATTTGACTCTAGAATAAACTATCTCTTATCCCATTCGAGGTAAGAGTTGTTTTTGCAAGAGAAATTGTTGTACTTCTTCCTTCCTTTCCCCTCCGCTCCTTCCTTCCTTCCTTCTAATCTGCCTGGGTCTCTTTAAAGATGCTTTATTCTCAGGGCCCCAGAATATGACTGCAGTGGAGGGAACTTTATTACTGTGGGTTTAGCTGAGGTAGAGGAGGTGTGGGGGGGGAGATTTGTGTTAATTAATGACTTTGTGGCTAGCCTCCTCCAGCTGTTTTGGAATCAGCTGGTTCTGAGACCACATTCAGTTGCAAATGAAACCAAAGGACCCCTGGAAGCAGGGAGAAAATTCTTTAACTCACTTGATCATTTTCCTATAGGGGGACAGCTTTTTCCATGACCTGACCAATCTCAGTTTTTCAAATCATTAGCCTTCTCTTGATATCACTGCTGATAATGCTGCCACTGTGTGATCAATGACAAATATAATGTATGCAATAACACTGTGAATTCTTTCACAGAAAATTGTGTTCCCATTGTGTCTCAGGCAGAGAGCTAACACATTTTGAAAGCCTCTTCCACAAACAGTGCCTTACATCTGTTGCCTCAAACAATCCATAGTAACTTCCAGTAAGCATGACCATCTCCATTTTATTGGCCCAGAACTTTTATTGACTTAGAGATTTTTCAAAAAGAAAAAAAAAATCCCATATTGCCACAACTAGTGAATGGCATAGCCAACATGATGGCCATTTCCTCTGCACATAAGGCAGAAACAGAAGTGTGCAGTTAAGTCTGAAAAATATCAGTTACTTGTCCCAAATTGACATCTTTTGAATCATGTCAAATTCCCACACCTTTTATCTCCCTAGTGAATTTTAGATTGGGATTCTCCTTTGCCATACACATTTTGGGCTCCTAAGCACCTTTGCTAACCTATGCACCTCTGTGCACATGGAGACCAGTGGTAAACCTCAGGCTTTGCTCCTCGACAGGGTCTCTCCCTGAATCTGGAACTCTACAACTCAGCTAGGCTGGCTGGCCAGCAAGCATCAGGGCTGCTCCTTTCTCCATCTTTCCAGCCCTAGGATCACAGGCAGGGGTGGCCATGAAACTCAACCTTTTACGTGGCTGCTGGGGATCAAACTCAGGTCGTTATGCTTGTGTGAGAGGCTCTTTGCCACATGAGGTATCTCCCTAGCCTCCTTCTGTGTATGTTGCTTATTAACCTTAACCACAACAACTCTGAATGGTTTTTACGACAAATTTGTAATTTGATTATTAGGGGCTGATCGAAGAAAAGGGTGGCCAGGAGGAGCAGAGACAAATGAGTTACTGACTGGATGGTGTCTGGCCAGGGTGGTCAACCACAGGCCTACACCATCAGCCTTCATGGTGTGCTCTACAAAAGATGATGATGATGATGATGATTCTGTTTTGGTTTTCAAGACAGGGTTTCTCTGTGTAATAGCTCTAGCTATACTGGAACTCGCTTTGGAGACTAGGCTGGCCTTGACAGAGATCCACCTACCTCCCAAGTGCTGGGATTAAAGCTGTGCACCATCACTGCCCCTTAAAATATATTTTTATTCATTTTAGTGTATGTGTATGAGTGTTTTAGTTGAATGCTTATGTACCATATATGTGCTTGGTGCCCATTGAAGGCATAAGGTGTTGGATTTCCTGGAACTAATTTTCACAGACGATAATATGTTGCAAAAGGGAGTGGTGGGCTGAGTTCCCACTGGGATCCCGGCTCCCTGGCTAGTTTACACCCAAAATAATTATACAGAAACTGTTTTCTTTTAAACACTGCCTGGCCCATTAGCTCTAGCCTCTTACTGGCTAATTCTCACATCTTGATTAACCCATATCTAAATATCTGCATACCACCACGAGGTCGTGGCTTACTGAGAAAGATTCAACATGTCTGACCTGGCGGCTGGTTCCATGGCGTCTGATTGCCTCTACTTTCTTTCTCCCACAATTCTGTTCTGTCTTTCCCGCCTACCTATGTTCTGACCTATCAGGCCAAGCAGTTTTCTTTATTAACCAATGAAAGCAACACATAGAAAAAAGACCCACCTACATCATTTCCCCTTTTTCTCTTTAAAAAAAAGGAAAGGCTTTCACTTTAACATAGTAAAATTACATATAACAAAACAGTTATCAAGCAAGAATTACAGTTACAATATTTGTATCTACTTTATCTTTTATCATAGCTAAGGAAAACTGTAACTATAACTAACCATTCTTCAACTCCATCAAAGACTACAGAAGGATATAATATTACCTAAGCAAATAAGAAATAAGCAACTTCCAAACTCTAGAAATGACAGAGACATCTCGCTGCCTGGACAGTCACCCAAAGTTCTTTTGTACTGTTGGGGCATCCATCTTCAGCCTACAGGCCCATAGTATCCAGCAGACATTTCCATGAAGCAGGAAAATTAAAAAACCATTCAGTCACTATCTGCTGTGTCCTGTAGAATGTCTCGCAGACTCTTTTATGAATCAGGAACCCTGAAAGACAATCTCACCTTTAGGCAAGTTCAGTAGTCCTCTCTCTGTGAGTTCTTTGTGTCCAGTTTATATAACAGTCCAGGCAAGAGCAATTTCTTGCCCAAATGGTTATCAAACTCCATAAGGAGCCTCTTCAAATGCCCATATTCCTCTTGAAGTAGATTGGTGCTGCCAGGAGCAGATGTGTCTCATTGTCATGAAAAGCCCTAAGTTATTAAAACATTAAATGTCATATTTTATAGTCTTTGAAAGATATGAAGAATGCCTATTTAACTGAAATATATCTCTGTATACCTAGAAAATCTAACTAACATGACTACAGACAACTATTATCGATGATTTTCTATTAACAACCTATATTTCCTATACATTGCATTTTTAAATGAACTACACAATCATAATACCTTAATCAAGATCAGAAATACATATACATATAACAAAATTGACCTTAAAATCCATACCAATGCAAATTATTCATATCTATATTATATCCCCCTTTAAATGTAAAAGAACATTTATAAACAATATTTGGGAACATGGGCACAGTTTCTCACCAAACTTCTTCCTACTATATGGGGGTGCTGTTAATTAGGTATTTTATGGTGTAACCTGTGTGTCAGGTTCATCTCAGTCGGCAGTTGAGCAAAGTAATGTTTTGAGGGTGTTTTCAGGAGGGCGTGGTCTATCATACCATATTGGGATAGAAGCAATCCACAGGGTCTCATCCTCTGTGAAAACAAAAGAACTTTTTCAAAGCATCATAACCTTAGATCCAAATTTTGAAGTCATTATACCTTTAGAACATATATGTTGGTTTAGTTTTGCAGCCCATACAATGAAATGTTTTTCTGAACTTAGCTCCTTCAGTCAAAAATTTTAAAGAAAACACAATGTACATAATCCAGACTCTTTGTGAATTTTCCATTTTTACGTGGCTTATTTTTATCTATTTCTTTTAATCTATAGCTATCTGTACTCTGTCTCTTTAAAGACTTTACCCTGTTTTTTAAGGCATTAACTTTATTCTCTATATTCCTTTTCTTCTCTCTCCCAAGCCTACGTACACTCATCCAACACTGTGACCCATTTAGAGGTCTTTTATGTCTGAATCTGTCCTATTGTGAATCTGTAATTTTTTTACTATTAGGAGCATTTTTCCTTTGCAGTTTTAAATCACTAAGCACTTAAGAATCTAAGCTATGACATTCCTAGGTCAAAAACAGGTACTGCCTGCTTTCCCCGCCCAGCCCAACATGGCAGAGCTGCTTGGGCCTTTGAGCCTTGCACATTGCACTGCTAGCATGGCGGAGGCACTTGTGCCTCTGAGCCGCAGCATGCAATGGCCCCCTTTTAGGCACACAGTGAGTCTAGTTGCCATCAAACAAATCATAGCACTTTACTCCAAATGTTCCATTCAGAAGCTCTGTCTCCCGCAGGAGCCAGACAGAGAACACAATGGTGGCACAGCCCAGAAACTAGTATTTCAAAACCATCACTGTAATGGTTGTTCTGTCTCTTTAAGAGACAAGTCACGCTCACTCCCTCCCCCATCTGCTGAGGCAGGCTGATCTTTAGCTTCCGGCCTGAACTCACTCTCTTTTCCATCTTCCT